GGAACATGTCCTGCTCTCTCATCCATCCATGCCTTTGCCCCTGCTCTTCTGCCTGCTTGGAATACGCTTTCCAGGAATACCCATCCTAGAAAATGCTTTCCCCTCTTCAAGAGGAAGTGGAGGCATCCCATCTGGGCAGACTTACTTGGATCACTGTGCCTTACTGTGCCTCTCTGGGCCTTGTTCCCAGGTTAATGTTTGGTATCTATTATCGGGTGGAATTTATGTCTGTCTCTCCATTTGACTCTAGGCTCCCAGAGGGCAAAGATTTGCTCTTGTTCATCTCTGTATCCCAATGCCCTGTGAGGGCATACAGTGAGCTCTCAACCAATGTCACTGTATTGAATGGGAATACCCTTGGCAGGGAAGGGAGGTATGACAAGAGGGGCCGGTTGGGAAGGGGCAAAGATGGGGCCAGGCAGGAGACAGGCTCTGATGCTGACTTCCTCATGTCACCATATGGATGAAAGGAGGCCCTGTGTAGAGAAGGGGTTTAGAATGGGTCTAAGGGAGCAGGGGCAGAGGCAAGGAGGACTGGCAACCCTAAAGACTGCTCAACCCTGCCTCTGCCTGTTGGAGTCAGTCTCTGGAAAAGTACCAGTGAATTAAAGCCCAATAAAAAAGTCAATTAAGTCCAAACTCATTTATGCCTTAAGCTCCCCCAAGCCAGTGAGCTGGAATGCAAGCTGGGCGGATATTTCTCCATTTCCCTCTATGTCTACATTAGTCTCTAGTGAGGCAGCTGTGACACATTTTATTTCAACTATAAATGGGGCAGATAGACGGATAGCAAAGTAATGGCTGCTGGGGACTGTCTGGATCCCATTCAAGAGATTCATGTCAGTGGGCATAATTTCGTGTCCTGACCTTGAGCTCTGACAGAGCACAGGGGATCTGTGTGCATGTGCATGTGTTCATGTGTGTTTGCATACACGTGCTGGGGGTGTGGATGTGTCCGTGTGTGCACTTTTGTTTGCTACATATAAAAGTGCAATCTGCACATTTGTGTGTTGATGCATCCATTTATTCTTCACATATTTATTGAGCACCTACTATGTGCCAGACACTGTGCTTGCCTCTGGTGTTCTCATGTTAGAGAGAGAGTTTCAGCTCTTATACTTATAGGTTGTACAGTCCAGAGGTCTAGAAAAAGACACACTATAAAACAAGTAATGACAACAAAATGTATAGATTGTTATATGAATGCAGGTATGCACATGCATGCTTGAACATCTGATTGCATGCATCTCGGATATCTATGAATGTATGTGCACGAATCAAGTCTCATCTGTGTGCATGTGTTGTGTATAAGCTCAACCCAGCTGGCCCATGTCCTGGAAAACTTCCTCTGGAAGCAACTGCAAACCAGTGATACCTAAAGTGATGTGATATGTGTGTGTATGAGACAGAGAAAGATGAGAAGAAGAATTAAAGTTGTCAGTGGTATCTGAGTCACAAGAAGGGGCAAAATACTTAAAGAGTATGCATAACCCATGGCTTCTCCACTTTCTTTCCATTTCCTCTTGAGCTCATATGACTGTTGCTCACCCATGGGAACCCTCAGGAGGCTAGGGCTGACCCTCATTGCTGGGATAGATGGAGAAAGTCTGGGCTAGGATAACAGCACATGGATTCTATTCCCAGTCCTGCTACTAAATAGGAAATTCATTGCAAAAAGGCATGTGGAGTCAGGAGTCCCAGATCTACCACTTTACCAGCTGTACAACCTTGGGCAAGTTTCTTTGTGTCTCTGAGTTTCAGTTTCCTCATTTGTAAAGAGAGTGTAATAATCCTGTCCCTGTCTACCATCACAGGGCTGCTATGATGGTCCTATTCTAAATCAACCATACGTAAGTGGAATGTAACTAACATTTCTAAGTGATTGTTCCTTCACAGGATAGCTGCCTGCTGCTGGGCCTTTCTAAAGGAAGCTTTGATTCCACCCATGTCCGATTCCTTGCACAGCATTTTCCAGAGTATTGTCCCCAAAATACTACTTCTATGAGATGCTTAAGGGAAGAAAACAAGATGCTGTGGTCTAATAGGTTAGAAAACATTGGGCTAGCTAGAATTAAACATGTTTATTTCTTGCAGAACTTATCAGAGGCTTTATTATGCCAATGTGCATTGTGAATCTCCAAGAGGGTGGCAGAGCATTCACCATTTCTGTCTGAGATTGGATCCCTCCAGGGGCCAGGATTTAAGGGCAAGGCTACATTTGGAAGGTGACTTCAGGAAGACCTAGGAAAGGAGTGCAGAAATGAAGTGAGGAAGGGAAGACAACCAACGTAGCATATATTCTGAGCCAGTTCCTGCTGTGGATGACTGGGGCTTAGCCCTGCATGGGACCTCTGAAAGATGGTGAACACCACACTGCAGGGCTGAGGAGGAGCTGGGCATTCACCTGCTTATTCCTGTTTATTGTTGGTTGAGAGCTACTCTGGGAATGTTGACATCCCAGGATTTCTGGCCTTCTCAGTGCTTGCACCCAGAATGTTCCCATCACTGGCAGATGTTCTTGGGCAGAAAGTCACTGTTCTCAGGAAGTGCCTGACAGCAAGATTAGAGCACATGGAGGTGATATGGACAGACCACTGAAAGCATCTGCTGCAAGTTCCTCACTTGACTGTTCTCCAAAAGTACAAAATCCCTCCACAGATGAGCCCTAATCTACTTTTCCAATCGCAACCTTTCCCACTCCCTTTTAGCCTAAAAGGCTGTGTGGATTGCAACAGTGGAAGGAGAGTTGAGCTAGGTGAACAAAACTATCTCTCTTCTAACTTGGATTTTTGGGGACCTTTAAAACTTCTGTCACTTAATGTACCTTACGGAATAGGATCTGTGATTCACAGTAGGGCAGAGGAACCCAGCAGTGTAGGGATGGAGGGTCCTGGAAGGTGTTTATCCAAGGGATCTGGCACCAGGAAAGCCAGAATTCTTGTTGGAAAAGCCAAGATTGAGGCTGGTAAATCAATGCTAAGCTTTAGATACAAAGTGCCAGCAACAGGCAATGGATGGGCAAAGGCGGAAGAGCCTACGTCAAATGTCCTTTCTGTAAGCCACTGCTTCGTGGGCTGCCATGGTGTGTCAAGGGAGCCATGCCGGGCTGCACAAAGTGAATGTCAGAGCTAGAAGTATGGGAGTGCTGAGGATTATCTCACCTCAAACATTTAAATGCAGGAAAATTGAGGACTAGAGAGGTAAAGGGACTTCCCTAGCAATTGCACCCAGTAATTTAAAAGCAGGGCAGGAATCAGAACACACCCTCCTTGCTCACTAGTGAGATCACTCCGAAGTCCTTGACTAACAGATGTTTCTTGCCAAGAATTTGACCATTGCCCATGGGTTTTCTGATGAAGAAATTATCCTTTTGCCCCAGCCCCTTCCTACCCCACCCTCCTGCCTTCAGCCGTGGCACTGAAGCTCTCTCTTCACCTTTCCTCTTACCTCTTCCTATTCCTTGGAGGGCTCCTTGTCACCTCAGGTAGTAATAACATTTTTGATTTTTAGACATGTCAGCAAGTTTTGCCAGGCAATGTGAGGGAGCACAAATGCTAATGCCTCCACCTGGGGATTACATTAATATACTGTCTTGAATTGACATTAAAAAAATTGCATATTTTAACTGGCTGTCTCCAAGTCCAGGATCACACAGTATTTAGTGGGATGGTAGAGGTGGTTAGAGAAAGGCCCTTGGTTGGGTTGGAAGGAGTGCCAGCTGAGGGGATCAGAAGTCCTGGAATCGAGTACCCTGGTGTGTGGCCTTGGGTGGGACACTTCTCATATCTGGGCCTCATTTTCCTCAACTGTAAAGTGGGAGGGCGGCACTGGGCAATCCCCAAGGCTCCTTCCAGCTCTAACCATCCATGGCTTTTGACTGCCAGTCTCTCTAAAGCTTTTGCCTTCTTTCATCATCTTTGCCCTGGATTCCAGGGCTGCCAGAAATGTCATCTCTCCTTGACCTTGGGACTGTTTATATGCTGGAGACAGACTCTTTCCTGCCTACCTGTTATCTCCCTTCAACTTACCTCCCTAAACTCTCAACCTGAGGCCAGCCCTCTATCCTGACTGGAGCAAAACATGGTAAGGATGGAGATGTTTCCAGTCCCTACCCCAGATCTATTATTTCTCTGATGCCCAAAGTAAGTTTTCTTGGAAAGATCATTGAATCCATTCTGTGTCTAGAATGTTGCTAAATGTGACTCTCTTTTTGCTTATCCAATAATTGGTGACTATTGTGGGCAGCACTGTTTTGGGCACAGCCTCCCTACAACCCTTTCCCTGATGTCATCCCCCAGTTCAGTGACTGCCTTGGCCAGGCCCCCAGCATCTCTCTTCTGGGCTACTGGGGTCCCCTTGGCTCTCAGCCTTGCTTTCTGCTGATTTGTTGCTGATGCTGCTACAGTCTCCTTCATTCCCTGCAGCAACATGTCCCCCTGATGCTGGTCTCTCAGGCTGGGCCCCTGGTTTCAAAGACCTACTCCCAAACACCCCTATCATGGGCCATGCCTTGACAAGTACCTGTATACTTCCTCTTCCTTCTTTCCCCAGAGACAAGATTGTAAGCTTGGATAAGTGCAGAATTGGGAGGTAGGAAGAAATGAGTGTCAGCCTGGGCTCTGCCATTAGCTATTGTGTTCTGATGCTAGTCCCTTTATGGTACAGAAACCCAGTCTTCCTTAAAATAGGACTAACAGGTGTTGCTCCATCTACCCACCAGTGTTGCACATGGATTTGTAAAGGATAATGTACTATACAGAGGGGATTATTTGGGTGTTTCTTCAAATGTCTTCCAGAGGCCAGCTGCATCAGCACCTGGGGATGGTAAGAAGATGCAGATTCCTGGGTCTGGCTCAGAGCTACTGAACCAGACTCTCTGATAATAAGGCCCAGGAATCTGGGCTTCAAATAAGCTTCTCAGGTGATTCTTATGAAACCTGAAGTTTAAGGCTCTCTGGCCTATTGTGATGATAGCTGGCACTCCCAGATTGTGCTCTCACCTCTCCCTTTGGCTGCTTGGGCCCACTGAGCATGCTCTGAAGACTTGATCTGTGCCTAGTGTATGGGCAGCTTCCCTCCCACTCCCCAATGCTGGGGTATTTTTTTAGTACATCTGAGAAACATCATGGGATAGTGGAAAAAGCAGGAGCTTTGGAATTACACCGGTATTTGAACCCCTGCTCTACTACTGATGATCCATGTGACTTTGGGTAAATTGCCTGACTCCCTGAGTCTTCATTGTTCTCCTCGCTATGATGGGAATTACAGCAATTATCTCAAGGCTGTGGTTAGGATTGTAGGAAATATATATACATAAAGTAGCTGCCACATTTTATAAGCCCATGAAAAGCTATTTCCTCCACCTGCTGTGGTTTGTTTAAGGTGGGTGTTACTTCATATGGTATGTTTGGACTGAAACCCACTGGGGACCTGATTTGGGAAGACTGGCAGCAGCTCTTAGACTTTTGCTGAATTCCCCAGAGCCCAAGCCCTGTCCTGAGAGAAACCCACTGCTCCCTGTGAAAGACTATTAAAGTTTAATTAGCTCCTCTGTGAGACATGCATTATTAAAAGCATGCTGGACTGGCTGTTAAGCTCAGCCAGGGCTGCCCCAGTGAATGGGGCTCCCCTGGGGCACATTCCATCCAGGCCACAAGGCAGAACCAAAAGGCAGAACCACAAGACGTGGAGACAGTGTAGGCACAGCCTTTGCCCTGGATGGGGGATGCAAAAATTGAGCAGAGCGGCACAGTGGGCTCCTGCAGTGCTCTGGGGGCTCTGAGTTACAGCTTTACATTTGCAAAGAAAGAGAGCCACTTGTCTCCCTCATTGGACTAGGGACTTTCCCAGGACAGAGCAGTGTCTCTTCCATCAGACTGTGCTTCCTCTTATGGCACCTATCAGACTAGGTTTCTTGGGCAGGGCCATATCTCCATGATCAGATTGAAGGACTCCTACCCAAGAGTGAAGGCTGCTTGTAGCCTTTGTCCCAGAAGCTGTCTAGAGCACCCCTTTCTCCCAGCATCCAGGCTCCTGCAGCCCTGAGGGGCTCTGCCCCTTGCTTTGTAAGCAGTAAAAAAAACAGAAGGCAACCAGCTTTCCTTTACAGGTTGTTGGGTTTTAAATAAAGATAGTTAAAATAATTTATATCCTGTTCAGGGGGAAAACTGGGGAGAGGAAGAAGGAGTAGGTTTTCCTGGCAAGGAAAAGAGGCATAAAATGTACCACTAAATGATCACTCAGCGGCCTCCATTCCTTCAAGCACAGAGCAAACACTTGTGATTTAAGCTAGACCCAGGGACAGGTTAGTACCAGAACTGTGACTGCGGGTTTGACCCAAACACTTTGGTGTTGAAGTCAGGCTTCCCAGAAGACAAAGGACAGAGAGGGAAGAGTTGATTCCAGGGTGAGAAGAAGGGGTTCCTGGAGGGATGGTGGTAGCTCCCAGCAGATATAATTCCCATTACACGGGTTTCAACTCTTGTTCGTTAATTTATATTCTGATCTCTAGGGCAAGAGCTTGAGTAGAAGGCTGACCTGAGTTTCTCCCAGCTCTGCTATTAACTCACCATGTTTCCATGGGTGAATCTCTTACCCTCATGAAACCTCAGTCGTTAGTGATTTGTGCTTTCTTAAAAACACCATCTGTAATTATACAGAATATCCATGAAGTCTGAAAACCCAGGTGAATACACAAAATATCAATAAGGACATCTTCAATTTGTTATAAAAAGAAATAGTATCTATGTTTGCAGACCCTACTGGCATATATTCATGTGTGTAAGATTGTTTTATGAATATCTGTCTTCTCCATTAGACTATAAACCCAAGAGGAACCTCCAGGAGTTTGTTCTCTGTTGCTTTTTCAGCACTCTGCCACTGCTTGGCACATCCTGAGAGCTCCATACATATTAATGAAATGAATTAATAAATTAAATGAATGGCAAAGCTTATCTTGGGAATGGGGAAGGTAATGAAATAAAGTGAGGACTCAAAAGTGAGCTTTGAGAGGACACGCTCAGATGTTTGGGACACCCAGCTCATTAACTGGACTCTCTTAACTGGATTTGGTTGTGATAAAAGAGATAGTAGAGAGGTAAGATTCAGCATGCAGAGGCAAATCCACTCTGATCACCCAGCTGCTTCTGAACATTTATAGATCCCTTCTCTGTCTTCAAAGGATAGCTGTATTCTTTTATAAAGGATTAGACTCTTGCCCTGAGAATTTGGACTCATGGCAGGTCAGTGCACACCCAGCCAGGGGTCCTCAGCAATGCAGAGCAGTTTCTCTCTGAAGAAGACAGAGAGCAAAAAGAACAAGTGAGGTCAGTATGGGGCCCTGGGCCCTCTTGGAGCCTTTACACATATCAGTCTCTTGGCTGGAATGCCAAGTCCCTCACTAGTCCACTTATCTTTTCAGACTCAGTTCCATGACCACACCCTTTACTCAGGTAGAACTGACTACTTTCTCCTTTGGGCCTTACTGGAAAAATAAATATTATTTTATCATGTGTCTGAATATACTAGCAATAAGCTATTTATTATGTATTTGTCAATGTTTCCAGATTTGGTGACCACCCTCTATATGTATCCTGTAGATGGTAAATTTCCTTGAGTGGTTGGTGTGGCCAGATGAAAAGTGTCAGTCTCTGTCCATGGTTCTGAAGGCTAGGGCCGGGTGTCCTCCCGAAAACTGAACCATGGATGTTTCCCCACCCTTTTCCACATATAAACCAAAAAGCTCAGTAAGGGCTTAGTGATGAGCTGAGAGAAAAAAGCCCGGGGCCCGGGGTAACCCAAATGAGAAAGTGATTAGTTCTACCTGTTGCATGTGACTCCAAAGCCTGCCAGCACGCTATCTGATGCTCGTCAATAATTGAGACAGCAGTAGGTTGCTTAGACCTCTGAGTCTTTCTTAGTTCATGGATGCTAGCTAGTCAGGTGAAATGTAGATATCTTGACATGTAGATATGGACCACACTTAGTGACAACTATAGGTGGGACTTGAGGTGTGCTAAAGTCTTTTGCATTCTAGGAAGCTATGAATTGCTCATTTTCAATAGTATTAATCTCATGATGAAAAGTAATTATTGCTGGGCGCAGTGGCTCACTCCTGTAATCCCAGCACTTTGGGAGGCCGAGGCGGGTGGATCACGAGGTCAAGAGATAGAGACCATCCTGGTCAACATGGTGAAACCCCGTCTTTACTAAAAATACAAAAAATTAGCTGGGCATGGTGGCGTGTGCCTGTAATCCTAGCTACTCGGGAGGGTGAGGCAGGAGAATTGCCTGAACCCAGGAGGCAGAGGTTGCGGTGAGCCGAGATCGTGCCATTGCACTCCAGCCTGGGTAACAGGAGTGAAACTCCATCTCAAAAAAAGAAAAGAAAGAAAAAAGAAAAGTAATTATTACACTCAAAGCATTTCACATGCAGTTTTAAAAGTGCAATTTATTGAGCACCTACTATGTGCCAGGTACCATGAGAGCTGCTTTTGTTTTTCATATATTATTCCTAATCCTCCAAATAGCTTTCCAGTTAGGAAAGCTATTATTAACCCCATTTTTGGAAGAACAGAGAATTGTCAGAATGGCCAAACAAGCAGCCCAAGGTCACAGAGCAGTTTACAATTGAATTAACGCCAGACTGTTGGTCTCTACAGACAGTGTGTCTTTTTACAAGTATATACTATGGAAGCTTTTAACAACTGCCTAGCAACAGAGAAAATAGTTTCCATAGCAACAATAGTAAAATCAGTATTGGCATTCGGATAATCCAATTCTTTAAACAAAACAAAACAAAACAAAACAAAACAAAACCCAAAAAACCAATTGCTTAAACCCTAAGCTGGTATTCCACATCTGGAAATGTAATCGAAGAAAACAATCTTAGCCATGGAAAAGTTTGTACATAAAGAAATGTACTGGAGCATTATTTACAATTTTGAAAAAGTTGCAACAAGAAACATCCAACAATAGGAGGATGATTAAATGCAGGGTGGAGCCATGCATTTAATAGTAAACATGATCTGGTACAATATGGTCCCATTTGATGAGCAACACTTCCGTTTCTAGGAATGGCTTCCATTTTCTGGGAACTGACTCCCCCTTGGGGGATAGTCATATTATGAGACCCTACTTTCTTGGGTCATGTGATTGATCCAGGGGTGGATGAAGTGGGCCAATCAGTTCCTTTCCTGGAATTAAAAAAAAACCAGGTTTGGAGACTGCTCAGTTTCTTTCTGTGAACATGGAATGTACCATAACGTCAGGGATATTGTTGGCTTTGTCCTGTCCCCATGCAGAAGAGGGGGCCCATGGTGAGACAGAGAAAGAACAAGAGTGGGGGAGAAAAAGAGAGAGATGGTGGGGTAGGGAAGGAGAGAGGAAGTGGAGGACAGATAGGAGTTGGAGGCTCGTGAGCAGTAAAGCAAAGGTGGAGTCCCTACTGCACTCCATGCTGATTCCAAGTCTTCCAAGAGCTCAACGGCACTTGAACCCTGTGAGATACACTAGCATTCTTCCAATAAACTCCTCCCTTTGCCCAAGCCAGTTAGAATTGGCTTTCTCTTATGTGTAAGCAAGAGTCCTAATGTAAATAGCAGGGGTTTAACATTCTGTGTTCTTAGGGAGAAAATGTAGGGCTGCATAGGGTGAACGATGCGTAGTTCCAAGGTGGAAAATCTGTGGACCCTCAAGAAGCAGCCTGGGAGAGGAACTTGACATAACCAGGGAAGAAGGTATGCACTGAGACCAGAGCTCATGAGGGATGGGGAGCTGGGCCACCCACTATGTAGGTACCTATCATGGCTTTAGGACATGTACCTAGACCCCTACCCTTCCAGAAAACTCACCCTCCTTAAGATACTATGGAAATCAGACAAGTAATGGATGAATCTGATCTGAGGCATCGCTCCTGCATTTTCGTTGGCCTGGAAGCTCCATAACAATCAGGGTTGTCTCCTATTCAGCTCTGCATTCCTAGAGCTGGTACAGGGCCTGGCACAGAGCAGGTGCCAAATGAGTGCATATTCACCCCAGGAGGTAGACTGGAGTTACATTTCGGTTCCCTTCGTACTCTTTTTACTCAATATATGGGTTTCTATTTATACTTAGTCTCTTGGCTTCAAGCCTACCCTTCTATTTTCTTCTCTGATGCTGGGGCCAGGACTCTGCAAGCTACATTCTCCAGATCCTTCTTGCCAGGAGTCTG